CCTTAAAATCTCCACCACTGGCACGTCCAATGAATTCGAGAAGGGTGCGAAAAAGTAGCTATTAATAGTGGTAATGTGTGTACAAAAGCTCAGTCCTGTAGTTCAAACGATTCCTAAGATATTGGCGAAAAACTAAAAAAAAATTAAAGTTTTGACACCCTGTATCTCGAAAACGAAAGCCCGGAGAGAAAAATGGAAGAGGAAAATTATGTTTCTTTATTCAAGAGGAATTTACAGTTTTCCGTTGTGACACTTATTTAGGAACACCCTGTATAAGTATTAAGCTGATCATTGACAATTCTTTCTAGTACTTTGAACAAAGTAGGCAGGATACTAATAGGACGATAGTCAGAAAGTGTCATTGGGTTATTGTTTTTTGGACATGATATAACATGTGAATTTTTTCATATCCCTTCAATTTTTTCAATTTCACCTCCTGCAACCTTCCTAAAAGTGAACTCCTCATTCGACTGAACAACTTTCCATTATATTTATTTAAGGAGGTTTATCGGGTACGGAGGTACGACTAAAGTCTAACGAGAGTTTCGGTAGATTTGGTAGTGACTAAAGTAATAAACCTTTAGATTTGGCAACGTTGCACTTGGCCGGCTTTATTTGGATGCCTAAGCTTGAAATATACATCATATGTCACACCTGCGAATTTCAAATAATATGCTACTTCGAGAACCGCGGTGTTGCCGCTCTCACGCATATGGAGGTTAAGTTAGTCAACGACAGCAGTTTGAAGGAGAATTATTATAAATTATGTATCTTACAAGTAGGTACCTAATCGATTTCTACGAACTGTCATACGGTTCCTTAGAAATCGGTTTCCTATTTATACAATTTGCTGTGGAAACTGTTCGTCAATTGTTGCGCATTTTAAATAGAAAGAACAAAAAAATCTGCATTCTCATAAGACTCTGTACTAAATCGTGAAAAATTATTTTATTAATATCTCGTCTCTTAGGTATCCAAACTAGTCATAATTTTTTTTGAGGATTTTCTTCATATTAATAAGCTTATATTAATTTTTTTATGAATATTTGTTCGTCAATTCCAAATCAGATAAACCTCCT